GACGAAAGAAATCCGGGTAGGTTTACGTTCCGGCCGCTTTACCCCCTCGAAAAGAACCCCGGTACCTATTGGACAGGAGGCCGGATGGACCCCAGAGTCGGTCTGGCTTAGTGGTAAGGTGAGAAACCCTGACCTTCTGGGAAACAAACCCAGGTTGTTCAGACCATAGGCTTGGCTTTGTATTGGCTGAGCTGTCTTGGTTCTTCGTCAAACTGCAGAGGTTTGTGAAAACTGTTGTTACCCAGCGGCTGTGCGTGAAATGAAAAGGTAAATGATGGTATGCGCGTGGTATGTTGTGCATATTCAGGACGGCGTGCAGTCAGGGAGTCGGGCCATTCCGCAAATTCGCTGTTGTTCTGCGGTCTCCACCCAAAGCTGTTGGAGTCACTTCATGCATAGTAGAAAGCGCAGTGAAACTGAAAACTAAATATGTTACACTTCACTTGCGGGTATTTAACCATTTAAAGCCCAATGGTAGCTGTAATTTTGTCCCACCCGCTTCAACAATCAGTAATTCTTAGTTCTGTATTTTATGGGTCTTGCATTATTCCCGCTGTAAACAGATTATTTTAAAAAAAATAATCAGCCATTTGAACTTCGTAATGGTGAAGTATTGTGTTGTGTTTTCTTTGCGGTATGGACAGAATTTTTAAATTCGGCTTCGAAGGATTGAATCACTAACTACATGGAAAAGAGTGGTCCTTCAGATGCCTTCAGAAAACCTTCTGGAGTAAAGTAGTTTCGAACTGAATTAGCCCATAATAAGCAGTTTTATGATTTATCGTTTTGGTATTTTCGTGAACCTTATTTATGTTTGTCATTGTTATTTCCAGGTATTAAGGCTCAAAAACATTCTCAACTGATTTGCTGCTTATATTTATTATTTATTGACTTTGTATTACGGATTGTGGTTTTGTGCTGTATTAGTATATTTGGTGTCATTTGTATTTATTTTTAAACCAGTGTAAGATAATTTATGCGTTATTTTTATTTTTCCATAACATATTAACACCATCAACGTGAACAAGAACGTGTATACTCGATATCCGATCGATCCACATGATTTATAATCTATATCGCATTGTGCAGTCCTCGTCACCCTTAACGGAGTCTATCAGTAGTTGAAACAGTATGTAATCGGTACAACTGACAAAGCGTCATGTAAAACAAGAAACAAAAACACGTTTCTAATGGAAAAAGTAGATTTAGTCCAAAATATTAATTCCTTCATTCACAGTGTCCGTGGGAAAGGTTACTCATGAACTTGTACAGAGCTTCACTTTGCAGGTTGAAAGTTGCAGTTTTCTCGTGTGAGATATTCGCAGGACTTCTCCTAACAGTAAAAGGTTTGTTTTCTGAACACAGAAAACGAGACCTACTACACATAACAACGGTAATTCATGCACATGTATATAATTGACGCAATTAAATGGGTCAGCTTTCAACCAAAAGTGTATCATACAACTTCCTTACATGTGTCATTTAAATGAAGTTAAATATGAAGTGAATGTTTACATGTTACCTTTCTAATAAAACGATTTAGTATACAAAATGGGCAAACTTTCAACTTTCATATTTCATGATGTATGTTAAGAATATGGAAGAAAGCTAGACTGTTTTAAATATAATGCTACGGTTATACCGTATTCTCTCTAAGTAATTTTGAATTTAAAGGAAGAAAGTTTGAGGAAACTTTATAGTCATATGTTTTATGAAATACGCTTCATTTTTACTTTAATAGATTACTATTTTAATAAGCATATATCAGCCGATTAGTTGAACTTTGTCGGTCTTTTAGGCGTGGATCGTTTGGTGACTGATTGATGACACAAAGAAACCGAAGATCCTAAACGCTTTTGCGGGGAAACTTGACACACATATCGAATGACGAAAATACAAAATGTACGAATGAACTTAGAATGTAAAATATTCGTTACTGAACTAATATTCTAACACTAGGTGCACTATATTAAAGGAAATGAATTTAATGTGTGGAAATGAAAGTGGCACATGTCAAATGGAAAAAATATTATGTTATTCAGCTGTTAACAGATAAGTAAACGATGGTAACAGAATTTAAATATCTCAGTCTTGCTAACTGCGGATTGAGAAACAGTGCTTCTCAGTTTCTTAACTCCCTGAAATATTACAAATAGTCTTCTTTCCACTTAGCAAAAAGTTTGGTTTGTGTGACATGTGGCCCCTTAAAACCCACTTATTCAGTTAAGCTAACCTGTAATACCTGGCTGATTCAATCCAATTCCTTTATTAGAGTGCGAACCAATAATAGAAGCCTAAATAAAAATAGTAGTGCAGGTTTCAGTTTAATTTCAGAGACATTTCCAAGAGCATCTTTTACAGCGGTACAGTAGATGTGCATGAATGTACAATCAAAGGGAATGCTTGAAATTCTAACATCGAACTACTGGGAAATCAGGATGGGTGGCGGAGTTATGTGCAAGTCATGGGAAAGCCTTCTCTTTCCAAAGATCGGATTCCATTTGCTGCGTCCCTTCCTCTGGGACCAGCAGGAAAAGCCAACAGTCCAGCTAGGGGATTTTAAGTGTGATATACGAGTTTTGGAGCTCCAGTCGATGGCAAAGCCTCTTACCTGCTTTTTCATTTTTAAGAAAGCGTGTTTCATAATTCCACAAGGCTTCAAATACAGTAACTCCATAAAGTGTACTCAATCGTGACGTCATATGGTGGTCCACAGCGATACCACATTTTAGACCAGGGGGGTTCTCTATTTTTTTTAGACCTGGGGCCTCATTCACTCTTTCTTATCGACATGCTGATCGCCGGGTTATTTATGAAATAAGTTTATTGAAACTCTATGGTAATTCTTTCAAATGCATATTATGACTTCCAGGTGTGCCAATTAATTTTCCCGTGTCGACATAATACCAGTCGGTGAAATTATTTTTGGTCTATTATTATTGTTATTGTTGTTTTTCAATAATCATTTATTTATTAAATATGTGTAGATATTTCATCCTGAACCTTGACATGATATTCAAACTCTTCACCAAAAAAGTAACGTGTTCGTAACAGCTGTCTTAAATGCAAGTGATAAGACCCTTCTCGAAAAATTGACTTGTTAAGTTGATACAAGACTCACCAACATCACTGCAGGTTTTACTGTTGGTGGTTTACTTGGAGACCAGATTCTTTTCTTTATTAAAGGTTTTATATTTTTCTTCTCCCGTGAATATTCCAATTTCTTTGTTACTACGATTCCAGTCTCTCTTGAATAAGTAATTTTACATTTTATGCGCCCAAAAACCATGTGCAATAACAAAATTTGTGCCTGTAATTATGTTTGTTGCCCCAATAAACGGTGAAATTCAGGGTCGGAGCTATCATATTGTCCAACGCATATTTCTGCCGATCTGAAGGAATTTGAGTGACAATACTCATGTCAGTTTGAGGTCGTAAACAGGTCATCGTCATGTATTGGTCAAGACATCAATCCGAGGGTTTTCCGAATAGAGGCATTTCAATTTAATGAGAAAATATTATATAGCCTGTGACGTAATGCAGCACCAAATGAGACAATGTAAATACGGAATAGTCTGAAATATGGGATGAAGAATGTCTTCTACTTGCAATTATGTTATAATGTTACTAGAAGGACTTAGGAAAGCAAAGCAGAACCTCAGAATGGTTTCGGACTCAGAACTTAGCGAATGAGAGCCAGACACTGAAAACACATTATTCTTACTATGAACCTCTCATTTATGTTATCCAGTTCAGGAAAAGGTTAATTGTATTGCCGATATCTCCAAAAACATTTGTGGACTATGAACTTTTTCCTTTCTAGGGAGTGGTGCTCATTCAGTCCGAGTGATTCAACCTCCTCCTTTGGGGCAGTCGCTTAATCCAATTGTACAAATGACACACTTTATTATAACGAAGAGGACAAATGCTTTAATTTTGTCACTAAAGAAAGTAGTTAATGGAGATTGATGAAGCAAAGTAAAAAGACATTAGTTACTTACCACTGCAGGAGACATGGTCGTAGAACAGGCCACATTGTAACACTTTTTGCGCGTATTCTTTTGTTAATGGCGTTTTTAAGAAAACTTCCAGTTTAGCTCTCTTCTCATGTCATTAAGAAGCACTGAAGAATAATTAGATGACGAATAGGTACACGTCACAAGTCTACTGCAGTGACGATCTCGATTGTACAGCGTTCAGATAGTGTTCCTGAGGTGACTGTCAGGTCCAGAACATGCATAGTATTCGCTCGTCAGCCAATTGATCAGCCAGCAATTAGAAAGGGCCAGGTCCCCGGGAAACTTGGGTTTGATGAGAATGATCTTTGGAAGATACTGACACACGTAAAGTTCTGTGATAACGATGGAAAGTAATTTGATATATTTAAAAGAAGTAGTTCAGGAAACAAAAATATTATGCTTACTTTCTGTGTAGTAAGGCCGGCGAGAACTTTAAAATAAGAAGAAAATGACTGTCTTTTGGGGTGATGCACCGTTAGTCTGGTAGAAATTTGCTGACGTTTCAGAGGTACTTACTGCCATCTTCGTACTCGTCGCAGTGAGAACCTGAAAACGTATTTGCGAAATGCTGTGATAGTCGTGAATTTTGAGTCGTGAGGAATGTTGAAGAACCTGTATCACCTTGCCAGTTTTAGGGAAGAGGAATTGAGGTAAATAATGAACATATCAGAATATTCGAAACACGGAGAGGATATTTATTTTTACAGGGCAAGAGTGGTGTATGATAAACCACACCGAAAAGTTTCGTTGGGTTTTCTTGTCAGCTGTCTATTATCAAAACTAAATGTAATTCGGTGTGTAGGTCACATTTTGTTTTCAGGACAGTTTTTGTTGTTGTGTAAAGTAATTCTTAAGAGCAACAATGAATTAGGGGCGATTTCTGTAAAAGTTCTGATGAATGGAACGGGTTTCAAAATACGCGGTTTAGGTTTGCTGTTTTTCTCCGTTAACACTAAATTTATGTTTCTTCTGTGTTCGCAGGACGAAGAGTGGCACATTATGCGTTCGAACCAGAGACTTGCTTGATCCGAAGACCATCATTGTTTCTGTTCCCAAAACAGAAAACAGGAACGATGACTGCTGCATCCACATTCTTCAACGTCTGCTTCCATCTTAATCCGGCGTAGCTAATAAAAGTACCGGAAGTGTGTGAAATGGCGGCTACATCTGTGAGGTTACCCAGCAAGCACCAGACGCCACTGAAGACTCTGAATCGCGGGAATAACTTCCTGCGAGCTCACCGGACAGTGAACACAGGCAAGTGCATTGTGCTGAGTTTAGAAACGGTTTATCACGCCACACTTGTTTTAGATATTGTCCACTGTCTTTCCATTTATGGATATATTAAGAACGAATTGAATTTGAGGGATTCTGTTCTTTATTAGTTTATTTTGAATGTTACAGGGACATTCGCGGTCATGACAGTCATTGAAAGTGCGGGTTAATTATACACTCAAGGTACATTTCGAAACAACTGATTCAAGCTTAAGACACAATACTTTTACACAATTTGTAAAGATGCTTAAAATCTGCCATCATGCACGATGTCATATTTCTATCTTCAGTCGTCCATTAGTTATCACTGTCATACTGGAACTAATTGAACATTACTCTCTTCCCCTGTGCTGTATTTCGCTGTATCCACAAATAATTACATTAACAAGGGTTACATATTTTTCTAAGATCTTTTACTATGTATTTTATTAAGTTTCGCCAGTGCCTGCTCCATCTCAGAAGTTCGTATTTTCGCCGTATTGTCACTACTGGTAGTAAGAAATTAAAAATTGGAGTTGTCGCCAGTGGAAATGCGCTCGTACTGAGTTTCGTGAAGATCGGTCAAGTGGTTGAACATTTATGAAGGTAGACACCACAATGAGCATGTTGATATCATAAGCCTACGTTTTACCCTAAGAAGGAAAGTTAGCCAAAATATCTATACAAGCTGTTTAGAATGTCTTCGCCTAATCCGTATTGCCTTACATCGTTTTTGCATGAAATCCTTCATTTGCAAGCGGACGCATTTGTTACCAGGAGAGCAGAACCGCAGTGCCGCCTTTTAACGGGATCACCAACCATTCTGTCTTTCCTGATGGTTTTCAAACCCTTGACTATAACTCGGAGCTAATCGGATGATGAAATCAGAATACTATTCAGTCGCTGCATACAGACGCTCCTGTAGAGAGATAAAGCAGACCTTTGGACTGTGATACAGGGGTCTTTGAGTGAGATTGAAGCCTTCTTTTTCCTGCGTCAGGGCGAAGGTCTCTAACCTTATCCCTTAGCGTTCGACACAGGAAAAGCCCTCGGGGTACACCACGGTCTGAATCCACAAAACACTCGTCGGCTTACTTTAAAAACGTCGCATGTCAGAATCGCCATAATTTACATTGGACACAAAGAACGTTGTATAACCGATATTCAACGCTAGAACACGTTATCTTTAAATAGTTGCTGGGAGCACCGCGACAGATAGGAGAGTTGCCTTGTATTTAAAAATACATAAAGGACACTGTTTTTTGTCTGGAAACATGTTATATATGTATATTGTAACGTAATCAGGACCTTCGAGGTTTTAAAATGTAGCCGTTGGCAGTCTACAAAATTTATAGCTGTTAATCTGGCTTCGAACACAAGATAATTGCTTCATTAACAAAACGAGAAAAGTGTGGTCCCTACCGGAATAAGCAATTTTCACATGCGTTTCTTGCATATTTTTAATCTTGAATGCTTCTAGGTATCTATGTGGTGAACACGTTAACAGACGTATAAAGAACGAGGTGATTATAATAAATGAGCATACAACTTTAAATATAATGTTTATACTGCTCAAAATGTTTTAAGCTCATGAATATAAGGTCGAATGTTTTGGATTTTTAAGAGTTTGCTTATTCACCATTTCACTTCAGAACTTCTCAATGCATTGAAACCAGATTCATGAAATTGCTGTCGACAAACAGAAACATATTTTTTGCATTAAAAAACCCTAAGAAAATTATACATATTTTTAAAATATCTATTTCCATACATTCCAGGACAATGTAGAAAGCGGGGATAAACATTTGAGGGAGGCGTGATAAGATGTACGTGAAATGCAGGCCAAAGTTTAAACTACCGAGAACATCCAAATATGTTCCCAGCAGCCATCCCTACTGATAAGGCGACAAGGAATTCTTTCACTTCCTTACTACTAGTCTTCAAGAACTTAGATACATAAGCTTACTTCATCATCGTCTATGAGCACTTTGCAATTATCATGTTCAGATACTATCATGGGAATGCAGCTACTGTAAAATATAATATTAAACTGCATGTATGAAGATAGACTTTAATCACCTCACACCGGCTCGCGAGCCTTCCAGGCTTTCTGTCCATCGTGTGCTTCGATCTCGAACCGTTTTCTATTTTGTAGCACGATTGTGTTTTAAACATATTAAGGTCTATTTATATAGGAACGTAAAGATAACGACACGAGCCCTTGTCGATTTTTCAGAAAATATTATTCAACGTTTTTCAATGGAACTGTTTATATTGACTCCGAGCTCGTCCGTTCCACGAACGAGTCTCGCCCAACTTACGTCTCCAACGATATTTTTCCTAAACAGTTCCATTGAAAAGCGTTGAATAATATTTTCTGAAAAATCGGCAAGGGCTCGTGTCGTTATCTTTACGATCTTATATAAATATACCCTAAATCTGGAGGTCACGACATTTACTCTATGTCAAACTGTGCTTACATGTAATGAATTAATCTACAGGCCTGATCCTATATATAATCTGATAAATAGTAGTGCACTGAATGAAATTGAGGGCATCATCTCAGTAAATTCCAAAAAAACTTCAAATGTAGGATTACGTGTCTGCCGATATTTAAGTACATTAAAATTGAGGAATAAATATAAAAAAAAAACTTAAAATGTCGGTCCTGTCCAAGCTGTTTTGCGTCGCTCATGCTGCTAGCGATCTAAACCATCGTATGCAACTATCACATAGAACACACCCACTGTTTTCTTCGAATCTACGAGGAAAATAAGACATCAACCTTACTTCGCCTCACCCAAGGCAAGACTTCTTATCATACAACACTAAATTCAGTCATTTAATACAAAGCCTTTTCCGCGTTTGCAAAGGATTTGATAGCTTTGCTGTAGAATGCAAAGCTAGTTTCTGGTATGGATCTGAATGATCCACCGTGCCAACGGATTGTAGGCATCCCTTGTCAACCTAAAGGTCGACGGTGGCGCCAGAGTCCTTCAGACAGCCAGTATCTGCCGCATTTATTGATTAGTACTCCCGGGCCGGCATTTTGGCGCCACATTCGCGAACAGCGAACCCCTTCTACCCCTCCCTAAAACACGAATCGCCATGCTCTAAATCGACTAGCCGCCATGTCATCCGGACCTCCGCGATGAAGTTTGGGGGGGGGGGGGACATTGTCCAAAACCAATTCTTTGTTGTGGTCTGTTCCGAAGTGGTTCCCAATCAGAGACTTATTTAATACAATTTTACGTAAGTCTTATGGTTTTCGAGATAATTAAACAAAAGGGGTTTTTATGTAATGTTTTCACCCGTGAACCGTTGGTTTGTCTCGATTCAATAGTTTAGTATTTGAGGTCCTTAATTGTCTGTCCTGTATGTTTTACGCAATTTCTAAAAGAAAATCACGTTCACGAACTGAACAATTAGAGGAAATAACGGAGCGAATTCACCGGAATTGTGACGCTGTTCGTTCATTTCCGAAGTAATCTTTGTATTGACCTGTAACACTACAGGCCTTTGTCGTCCTAGGAGTTCCATCGCGTGTCGAAGAATATTATCGTCTTAGGGTTAAATCAAAGGCTGAACAGGCCAGAGACCTCACCATTTTAGTGGAAAAGAAGAAGTTAGAAGAACAACGAATGGTGTTGTGGAAATAGGCGATAGGAAAACTATTCAATGCGACCGTGTAAGTCTTACATTCATTCGGTTATTATATTGATGGTTACGAACCGGAAGATCGGAGTTCGATTTCCGGCAGAGGTAGGAATTTTTAGGCGTATTCGCTTCTAAAATTCTAAATAATGCGCCCTGTCTATCCATCCTTATGGCAGTCTGTCAGTCCGCACATAATATCTGGAAAGTGGTAGAACCGATTTTCATGAAATTTGCGATTGGCCAGGTTCATTAAATTTGATTGTCTGGGGAATCCCCAGCCATCCAGACAATTCTGACGTCACTTGTTATCTTTACCATCACGTCCAGGTTGAGTCGGGGACCCGCCGAGCCTATCATTAATCTGAGCACCCACTTCCATTTAGTGCAAAGGCTAAGAATGCTTGGAGGTTTACATTTTATTTGCCATACGTTTTCTTTGCGCGATGCGTAAGTACAGGGGCACATTTATCTTTTACCTTTAACTGGGTTATGGTACAGGTTGTATTGTGTTTGCGTGCACAGAATTGTGTGTTGGGTATACCACAATAAAAGGGTGTTTACGTGTCCTGAAAACAGAGTAGTAATGAATTTATCTCCGGTATATCACTTCGTGATGATAATGGGGGGTGTATCAGATGCAATTAGCGTGTGAGGAAATATGAAAGCTAATCAATTATGTCTGCTGCTCTGTGTTGAATAACGATGTGAATGCAGTTAAGATATATGCACATGTATAATTTAGTGGTGCTGTCCAAAATTTCAAGAGGCCATGACAAATGTAATGAAGCTTGTGTCATATGAACTTGTCATAACATGGGATTTATTTCCGGGTGATGTATGTTTACACGAGTGACCCTTCAGTATTTTACGACTGTGTGATGTTTACACCGTACGTTACAGCAGTAATTAATTTTGAAAATAAAACATCCAGAACTTAATGAAGTATGTCCAGTTGATACGTTATTGTTATGTTCCGTTATAATGTCAGGTTTCAGCTCAAGAGAGTCTAGGATGTCATTAACTTACAATACATTGTGTTTAGTCGGATTAGTAGAGCAAAGAAAGATGACTGAATTGCAGTCTACAGGTTCGTACACAAATAAGTGATAGCAGATACAGTAATCTAAAACGCAAAACTAGTATAATTTTATGAAGTAAGAAGAATTAAGTTATATGGGCAAATGTAATACTCCAAATACAATTTTCTAGTCTCGGAAACGTCAGAGATTTATTCCGTACGGAGGCTGCTGATTGCCCCAGAAAAATTCGTTGCTAAACTGGAGAATGCTTTGTGCCCCCGTAGCCTTCACGGTGGTTAATTTCTTTTCTGAGAGATGCGACTTCTA